TTAATAAAAAAAAATCATGCAAATAAATTGATAGAAAGAAAAAAGGAGGAGAAAGAGAGAGAGAGAGAGAGAGAGAGAGAGAGAGAGAGAGAGAGAGAGAGAGAATGCATCCATTTAAAAATAAGAGACTATAAACCTTTCAGCACCAAGGACAGCGACATAATTGAAGGCTGTGCCTCAACGCAATGCTGACTCTGATCACACAAACAGCGGCACTTACACCTCTAGTCTTTCTAAATATTCTCACACCTGACTAACGCCTCACTTAAATATGCCTCATGCCTTCAGGTAAACAAACACAGGGATTCATGACTCTTAGAGAAAGCTATAAGCGCATTTACACCACCTGACCAAACCATGCATCGCTCCACAGTCTATTTGTGCATTTATTTCCCAGTGCTTTCATATGAAATCACAGTTTCCATTCTGTCGTCAATGTCAAAAGAGAAAAAAGATCATAAAGTGTGTTTGATTGTTATGAGAAAACAACACATGGCGTCAGATTGCGCTTGAAATAGCTCCAGCTTATTGCCCCAGCTAATTATACAAACCCCCTCCGACATACTGAGCCCTCTCACTGTTTTCCAAAGCAAAGGATGAATTCTAACACAATTAGTTACAACGTTAACGAGTGTTAAAGTGTGACAGCCCGTCTGAAGGGGCAAATAATGGCGTGCGCCTCATTGCAATTAACATCAACGACCAGTTTGGTGCCACTCAAATGTTCAGTTTTCAACACATCAGACTAATGGACTATAAATGCATGAGTACGTGAAATAACATGCATGCATTTGCAACAGTTGAATATAAAACGATAACCAAACAAGCCAATTTATTCAAGTGCCAATTGCACAGACATACAGCAAATGCATTTTCCCTTTGGCTCAGAGAATCCAATGCACTCGCACACAAACAACAGCATCAACAAACAGCATCCACCGGAGTGCTAGGACTGGTACTCACCCGTGGCAGAGGGCGACCTGTTCAGTGCCATCTTCATGTTCCCGGTGATATGGTGGACAATCCGCTCGCGGCCCCGCGCAGCTTAATGCGCTCGTGCTGCTGCCGTTAATTCCGTGGAGCGCTCGAGACGCTCAAACTTCCCCCCAGGGGTCAAGTAAGGTCCTTTTAAGGTCACCTTGAATATCACCCTTTGACCCGTTATTGTTTTAACTGTGAAAATAATTTACTTTAAAAGAGAGAAAAAAATTATTGGTACTTAAAACACTTGACTTTTTTTTAAATCTGACAGCTCCTTGGTTCATATGGCTCTCTGTGGTATAGGCTAGCAGGTGCACAATTCTAACGTCATCCATGTATTACTCGCCTACTATTATTCAAATACTGCATATTCAGGCATGCTACATGTTTTATGTACTGCTTTTTGCACACTATATACTATAGAACACGTGGGAACCTACTTGTGGCATAAAGTCGTCTTCATGCACCCTTTATGAATATGCATATGCAAATATTTTTTGAACGATGTAGAGCAGGGGTGTGAAACTCATTTTCAATGAGGGCCGCTTCAACCTTATGGCTGCCATCAAAGGGCCGGTTGTAACTGTAAGACTGTACAAATGTTATTATTCCTTAACATATTGTTAAATATATGTCTCTTTATTTTATTATTACTTAAGTTACAAATATTGCATATACATTTGCATAGATGTAAAAAATATATGTAATTGCTCTGTGTTATTTGAACATAAATCCTTTTAATTTATCAGGTTAAGAAATCCAAATTACTCTATAAATCAAAGTAAATAATAAAGACAAGTATCATCAAACACAAGTCATTACATTAACTTTGTTAAAAACTTTTTTGTTACATTTATGGCGCAACAAATAATTGTGAGCTGCTAAGAACGTGTGACAGATATGGCATTTAACAAAACAAATGAGCCCAGTCTCATGAAAATGCGTATCAATAGCACGATTTTCTGTTTCTATTTGGCATGCGACTTATTTGCAGAAATTGACTTTGGCGTGCATATGATACGCAATCAATGCCTGTAGTAGAAAAAAAAGAAGTGGTGGTACTCAACCCCACCCCCCCACCCAAAAATAAATAAATACAAACTAAAGTACTAAAAATAGCACTTTTTAATTTTCTAAATTCGCAATGAATGTATATAGTGCCACAATAAATAAATACATTAATAAATTAATAATTGTTTGCAATTCAATTCACATTTATTTGCATATTTGTATACATGGTACACTGTTGTGAAGCAGCTTCACAGAAAATGAACATTTCAGAATCAGAATCAGAATTAGCTTTATAGCTTTATTGTGCGCAAACACACTAGGAATTTGTTTTTTTTTACCAGGTGCTCCTGTTACATACATGCATACAAACATACATACATACATACATACACATCTGACATGAGAACAGAAAAAAACATTTAAATAGTAAGACTTAACAAAAAATAATGTGTATGAATCTGGAACAGTAGATTTATGTATAGATTTGTGCATTTGTACTCTATATAGAGCTGTATAAATAAGATATATCCATATGTATTTACATGATACTTGAGAAAAATGTCATTACATTTAGTAGTTTAAAGCACTTTTAATAAAAAAAATTGCACAAGTCAATCTGCGATACCAAACAGGAATACAAGGGGACGCCAAAAGACCACTAAATGAGCTACCTTGACCTGACTGATCCAGAATTACTAAACCACTGACAACTGCATAAACTAAAACACCTTCAGCCAGCATCCAGAATAAAACACTTGTGCTTTTAAGCCAAATAGCTTGCTGATTTTCTTTTTACTTAAGTCTGTACGTGAGTACTATTATCTCCACCATCTCTGATGACATCGGCCGTGTTTTCTCTGCATTAGTGCTGTTTTAAACTATACTGTTTGAATGCATTCGTTTACTGGATCCTTAGACTTTCCAGCAGTTTACCGGTTGATCTGATCGCAAAAAAACTGCTTCTTTTCATTTTTGTAATGTATTGTTTTCTTTAAAATTTACTGATTTAAATTAGCAATTAATATTTTATTACTCTATGCTAGGGTGACCACCTGGCTATAGATCTGTTGCAGGACAGTAGATGTGATTTTACGGGACAATGCGGGACATGTGCGAAACAGATACGTTTATTACTGTTATGCTATGTAAATACTGATTTACATTCTTTGGCATATCCGCAGAACACTCAGGCATTTGATGCGCTCTTGCATAGGCTATATAATTGAGTTTGAGTTTGACACATGTGCTGTAGAGGAATACGGAATATAGCGCATGAGTCGTATGGACTACTTTTATGACACGTATGATGCTTTATTGTCTCTTTTAGAGCTTGGCAGCCCTGGTCACCTTTTACATTCATTGTATGGGAAAGAGAACCTTGAAATACAGTTACATTGTGTTTATGGAAGAAATTCATATGGTGTTGAAAGACATGAGGGTGAGTAAATGATGACAGAAGTTTCATTTTTGGTGAACTATTGCTATATGCATTATATAATGAAACAATATTGAATAATTGTATTAATGAAATATAACTAAATGTCATTATACATTTTAATAGTGAATCCATTGTCTATAAAGATAAAGTTATGATATACTAAAGGCTGTTGACATTTAAACTGGGTCAGTAATTGTCCCTATTTATCTTATTCTTTTTTATGTCCAAACTCATTTGTAGCCTATTGTCTGCTTGGATAAACTTGGAGTTATGTGCTTTGTTTAAGAGCACACTGACATTTTCTTGGGTCATATCTTTACAGAACTGAACCTGCTACGTGTTAGCAGCTCAGAGACTTAACCATTAAACAACCACTACCTTAGCAACACTCACTTATGCGTATTTTACATTGCTTAATCAGTTCATTTAAGAGAGAACATTAAATGGTTGTAAATGAGAAAACTAAAGCAATCATTTAGCCAACAATTTGAGCGATCTGATCACTAATAGTGTATTAAATCCCATCAGAGAATGCATGGACTAGTCATGCACTTTCATAATTACCTTCAAAACACATCATAATAATGCAGTGACTCGCCATGTTTAATGAACATACTTTCCGACATGATTTCCAGATGATTGTACAGTTATTATTAAGGTCATGGCAGCTGGAATTGAGATTAATCCTTTTCTGCACACAACAAGTTATTCGTGTTATCATTTAGTTACAAACCCGAAGCATTTTAATCAAATATTATTTGAACCCTGTTGGAAGTGATAATGTCATAGAACCACAGATGTGTGGAAATATGCAGAAATGTCATAAATGTAGTGTTTGTTCTTGATCCCTCTGCAGAAGCTTCACGGACCCCCCAGGGGTCAAGTAAGGTCCTTTTAAGGTCACCTTGAATATCACCCTTTGACCCGTTATTGTTTTAACTGTGAAAATAATTTACTTTAAAAGAGAAAAAAAATTATTGGTACTTAAAACACTTGACTTTTTTTTAAATCTGACAGCTCCTTGGTTCATATGGCTCTCTGTGGTATAGGCTAGCAGGTGCAGAATTCTAACGTCATCCATGTATTACTCGCCTACTATTATTCAAATACTGCATATTCAGGCATGCTACATGTTTTATGTACTGCTTTTTGCACACTATATACTATAGAACACGTGGGAACCTACTTGTGGCATAAAGTCGTCTTCATGCACCCTATATGAATATGCATATGCAAATATTTTTTGAACGATGTAGAGCAGGGGTATGAAACTCATTTTCAATGAGGGCCGCTTCAACCTTATGGCTGCCATCAAAGGGCCGGTTGTAACTGTAAGACTGTACAAATGTTATTATTCCTTAACATATTGTTAAATATCTGTCTCTTTATTTTATTATTACTTAAGTTACAAATATTGCATATACATTTGCATAGATGTAAAAATATATGTAATTGCTCTGTGTTATTTGAACATAAATCCTTTTAATTTATCAGGTTAAGAAATCCAAATTACTCTATAAATCAAAGTAAATAATAAAGACAAGTATCATCAAACACAAGTCATTACATTAACTTTGTTAAAAACTTTTTTGTTACATTTATGGCGCAACAAATAATTGTGAGCTGCTAAGAACGTGTGACAGATATGGCATTTAACAAAATAATGAGCCCAGTCTCATGAAAATGCGTATCAATAGCACGATTTTCTGTATCTATTTGGCATGCGGCATGCAGAAATTGACTTTGGCGTGCATATGATACGCAATCAATGCCTGTAGTAGAAAAAAAAGAAGTGGTGGTACTCAACCCCACTCCCCCCACCCAAAAATAAATAAATACAAACTAAAGTACTAAAAATAGCACTTTTTAATTTTCTAAATTCGCAATGAATGTATATAGTGCCACAATAAATAAATACATTAATAAATTAATAATTGTTTGCAATTCAATTCACATTTATTTGCATAACACTTTTCATGGTACACTGTTGTGAAGCAGCTTCACAGAAAATGAACATTTCAGAATCAGAATCAGAATTAGCTTTATTCGCCAGGTGTGCGCAAACACACTAGGAATTTGTTTTTTTTTACCAGGTGCTCCTGTTACATACATGCATACAAACATACATACATACATACATACATACACATCTGACATGAGAACAGAAAAAAACATTTAAATAGTAAGACTTAACAAAAAATAATGTGTATGAATCTGGAACAGTAGATTTATGTATAGATTTGTGCATTTGTACTCTATATAGAGCTGTATAAATAAGATATATCCATATGTATTTACATGATACTTGAGAAAAATGTCATTACATTTAGTAGTTTAAAGCACTTTTAATAAAAAAAATTGCACAAGTCAATCTGCGATACCAAACAGGAATACAAGGGGACGCCAAAAGACCACTAAATGAGCTACCTTGACCTGACTGATCCAGAATTACTAAACCACTGACAACTGCATAAACTAAAACACCTTCAGCCAGCATCCAGAATAAAACACTTGTGCTTTTAAGCCAAATAGCTTGCTGATTTTCTTTTTACTTAAGTCTGTACGTGAGTACTATTATCTCCACCATCTCTGATGACATCGGCCGTGTTTTCGTGTTTTCTGTGCTGTTTTAAACTATACTGTTTGAATGCATTCGTTTACTGGATCC